GCAAGGCGGAGGCACACATCAGGGTCGTGAATCCAGCGAAGGGTGATCCTTGTTCGAGCTCTCTGCAGTCTGCTTCTCTTCGTCCTCCCTGAGCAGCACGGAAGCCGAGACGACGAGAGGGCGCAGTTTTCGGGGAACGAAGAATGACATACACATAAAACTCGGAGGTCCGCGCTAATGTCTCGGCACCGCGCTGTACCTCCCTGGCGGCGCCTCCGGCGCCGCCCCTTGCGCGCTCCGCGCGCCAGGGAGGGGGGTCCAGCGCCGAGATCCGAGGAATTCGCGCGGACCTCCGAGTTTTTTGGATGTTTATGCCATGTTTCGTTCCTGGCAATTATTGCTCATGCGGCGCTCACCCGCCGCGAAAGCTGATGGCAGCTGCAGACAGGGCAAGAGCAAATGGCGGAGCATGGCGCCGCGACGCCTGTGCACCAGCACAGTAGACATAGTGAGGTTGGTGCAGTTCGGCAGGCAGGCGATGCTAGCTCCTAGGGTCGTGCGTCCAAAATGGCGCGGGCTGGAGCGAGGATCAACGTAATTATCGAAGACGCCTACCGCGAATTACCGCCGCCCCCTGCCTTTTGGAGTCGCCCATGTGGCCGAACGTTGTTGCCAGAGATCTGCCAAGCTATCCGACCATGTGTTCCCCCAGCCGTGGTGGAAACCTTTAGGGGAACACTTGGGAGAGGATGGCGGGGAAGATCAGGAGGCGGAGGAGGAGGCGGAGGAGGAGGAAAAGGAGGAGGAGGAGGAGGAGGAGGACCAGTGGAAGACCACGAGTCATCAACGATGTTGAAATAAACCCTCCCTCCAAGCTCCCTCTTCACAGGCCCCTACAACGGTTTAGATTCACTGAGGGAACTGCCTCGTTGGAAGACAACCGTTTGAAGCCCTTGAAGCATGCCAAGGCAATGTTCTCGGGATTTCAACGCCACGGATCAATCTGACCGTTGCGTCTTGACGATCTTGAGTCGGTGCAGCACAGCGAATCAACGGAATTGTTGCACCCTCATAATCCTGAATCTTTCCAACAACATTATTTTTGGTACGCTGATCATGGGACTTCGCGAAACTCTTGCAATGTTTGAAACGAACGTGCGCGGCGCTTAAGCGAGAACCACATTCTGAACAGGAGCCGCCCTCAATCCGTGAAACTCTTCCAAATTGAAAAATCCAATGTGCGCGGCGCTAAAGCGAGAGCCACATTTTGAAAAGGAGCCGCCCTCAATCCGTGAAGCTCTTGCAAATTACCTAACAGCAAAGACTGATAGGTTTCTAGTTGACTCGAAAGAGCTCACAGATCACTCCACAGGGGGGTCCGGGCAGGCGGGCAGGGGTTCACCAACAGTCACACACTTCGTGCTCGTCGACCTCTCAGAACCCCATTCCCAGGCCACATTCTGAATAACCGGATGCAACAGTCACACACTTGGTGCTCCTTGACCTCCCAGAACGCCATTCCCGGGCCACATTTTGAATGCCCGGAGCCAACTGTAGGCCACTTCGTGCTCTTCTACTTCCCAGAACTCCATTCCCGGGCCACATTTTGATGCCCGGAGCCAACTGTAGGCCACTTCGTGGTGTTCGAGTTCCCAGAACTCCATTCCTGGGCATGATTTTGAATGCCCGGAGCCAACTGTAGGCCATTTCGTGTTCTTCGAGTTCCCAGAACTCCATTCCCGGGCCACCTGAGGCAATGAGGCTGAGGCAGGCTGAGGCTGAGGCAGGCTGAGGCTGAGGCTGAGGCTGAGGCTGAAGGGCTGAGGCTGAGGCTGAGGCTGAGGCTGAGGCCGAGGCTGAAGGCAGACTGAGGCTGAGGCTGAAGCAGGCTGAGGCTGAGGCTGAGGCAGGCTGAGGCTGAGGCTGAGGCAGGCTGATGCTGAGGCAGGCTGAGGCTGAGGCTGAGGCTGATGCAGGCTGAGGCTGAGGCAGGCTGAGGCTGAGGCCGAGGCTGAAGGCAGACTGAGGCTGAGGCTGAAGCAGGCTGAGGCTGAGGCTGAGGCAGGCTGAGGCTGAGGCTGAGGCAGGCTGATGCTGAGGCAGGCTGAGGCTGAGGCTGAGGCTGATGCAGGCTGAGGCTGAGGCAGGCTGAGGCTGAGGCCGAGGCTGAAGGCAGACTGAGGCTGAGGCTGCAGGCTGAAGCAGGCTGAGGCTGAGGCTGAGGCAGGCTGAGGCTGAGGCTGAGGCAGGCTGATGCTGAGGCAGGCTGAGGCTGAGGCTGAGGCTGATGCAGGCTGAGGCTGAGGCAGGCTGAGGCTGAGGCCGAGGCTGAAGGCAGACTGATGTTGAGGCTGAAGCAGGCTGAGGGCGAGGCTGAGGCAGGCTGAGGCTGATGCAGGCTGAGGGTGAGGCTGAGGCAGGCTGAGGCCGAGGCTGAAGGCAGACTGATGTTGAGGCTGAAGCAGGCTGAGGGCGAGGCTGAGGCAGGCTGAGGCTGAGGCAGGCTGAGGCTGAGGCTGAGGCAGGCTGAGGCTGAGGCTGTGACTGCGACTGCTGTTGCCACTGCGACTGCCATCGCGAATGCGACCACGACTGCGAGAACAGCAGAATTCTACAACAGGATTCTTATCTGAATCTTAAGGGGAATGCTTCCAGATATGCTCCTACACATCGCTCTTAGGTTGCTTTGCCGGGATAATTGTTAAAACGAATGTGCGCGGCGCTAAAGCGAGAGCCACATTTTGAAAACCACCCGCCCTCAACCCGTGAAATTCTTGTAAACTGTTAAAACGAATGTGCGCGGCGCTAATGCGAGAGCCACATTTTGAAAACCACCCGTCCTCAATCAGTGAAACCGTTGTCATGTTTAAAGCTTCAGGGTCATACATTGTGAGGACGTCTCAGGCGAAACTCCCGGCCCGCTCTAACAACTTTCCTTGAGGTGCGACAGGTAGAATTTATGTATAAGGACAAGGAATGGAGTGGGCATTTCGGGAGCCTCTGGGGACACTCTTGGGGCCTCCTGGGAGCTTTCTGGGTGCTTCTTAGAGGCATCTTGGGGGCTTCCTTGGGCCTTTTGGGATCCTCCTTGGGCCTCTTGAGAGCCTTTGGGGGTTTGTTCGAGGCCTCTTTGCCCGTTTTAGGGCGTTCCTGGCCCATCTTGGGCGTCTCGGAGGCGTCTTGGGCCGTCTTGGGGCCTCTTGGGCGATCTTGGGGCGATCTTTGGGGGCTCTTGGGCCGTCTCGGGCCATTGGCAGGCAAAAAAGAAACACATGCTCGAACCTTACAAAACCGATGGACAATTAACGATGCTGGCCTCTTCGAGGATCAGCGTAATTATCGAATGGCCTTCGGGCCATCCCGCCACCGTGCCTGGGTTGTCGGTCTGATGCCTCTTGGATTGTCGTTGGGATCTCGTCGAGGCCTCTCTGGGGCCTCCTGGAGGCAGTTTCGAGGCCCCCGAGGGGCTGTTTTGGGACCTCTTTGAAACCTCTTAGGGGGCCTCGTGGGGGCCTCTTAGGGGCCTCGTGGGGGCCTCGTGGGGCTTCTTGGCTGCCTCTTGGGGCGAACAGCTGGGATTTTCGATTCGTGTTCCCCCTCTTGAGCCCCTCTCGTGACCGTCTTGGGACCCTTTCACGCCGTCTTGGGCGCCTCTTGGGCCGCCTTGGGGCTCTTTTGGGGGCCTCTGGGGCCGTCTTGTGGCGGTCTTGGGGGCCTCTTGGGACGTCTTGGAGCGTCGGAACCTCAAACAGTGAAGAACCCATCGGGAATGAGTGATTTTGGTCTCCTGGGGCCTTCTTGGGAGACCTCTGGGAGGCTTCTTTTTCTGTCTTAGCTTCTTGGGCCGTCTTGGGGCCATCTTAGGCGTCTTGGGGCGATCTTTGGGCGTCTCGGGGCCCTCTTGGCCCGTCTTGGGGCCCTCTAGGGCCCCAAAACGTCACGCGAGAAGATGCGGGGGAGCCCATGGGTCACGCGGGAAGCCCGCCCCAAGAGATTTAGGAATGCGGGGTCCGGGCCCTTCAGAAACTCCTCATGAGTGAGGGCTGAGGCTCAAGGGATTAGGCAAAGGACCTGAGGACACGCCCACTCCGTGCCCAGAGGCACGGTGGCGGACCTAGACAGAGCGCGGGACAGTGCGAACTGGGCCGCCAGCGCCATTGCCGGGACCGCGCGGGCAAAATCCCAGGCAGCAGCAGGATATTATGGGTGCCAGTGCCTGCACAGCGCCGCATGGCGTCGGAAGAGCACTAAACACTTGTTATGCCCGCAGGCGCGATCTAGAGCATTTGAAGCATCCATACGACCGTCCTCTCCCCCCAGATTCTGTCAGAGCGGGGACACTTTTCTCCCGCACCTGTTTCTTACGCATCGGAATTAAAATGCTGATGTTCACATGTGCACATCTTTTCATGTATATGTGTATGTATATATATATATATGTATATATACATATATATATATGTATATATGTACGTTTGTGCGTGTTCTGTTTCGGAATGGTTCTGGTTGTATCAAAATGGTGCTCCCGCTGCAGCGTTAGCCGCACTTCAGGATCGGCGCTCCATTTCCCATCGTTCAGACTGGCGATCTCGCCCCAGTGTGGGCTACCTTTCTAGATCCAAGTCTTTCCTCGTCGCTGTTGCCAGCCTCCTTTCACCTCCTCCGCCTTGCCCTGGTCCTCCTGCTCCTCCCGCTCTTCCTGCTTCTGCTTCCGTTGCCGTTTTTTTCTTCTCCGCATCCTTCTTCTTTCTCATCCTCCTTTTCTTCTTGCTCATCATCCACCTCCTCCTCATCCTCTTTCTCTTCCACTTGGCACAGCTTCCCCTTTTGATTGCGAGTAGGAAAATAAGTTCATTCGGCGGGCTCCAAGTCCGCTATGACACCCGTCGGCGCAGATAGACAAATCAGCACAATAGTAAGGGACAGGCGGGAGGGGTCGGACGTCAGTTATGGCGCGAGCGCACCCAGCTTGCCCCCCTCATTTCCCCCTCGTTCCCACAGCCGCTTTTTGGCGCAAGCACTGTAGTCAGAGTTGGGGGCCACTCGTCCCGGCCGTCCAGGGCCGGCCAATGGACGCGGGCTCGGCGCTGGCAGCCGTGCATCCGTCGCAGGAGCACAGGTGGGACGACCCGGAGTGGGATGCCAACGTGGTCACGGTTATGATCCGGCAGATCCCGCGCCATTTCACGCAGCAGCTTCTCCTGCACGAGGTGGTCGCGCACGGGTTCGAGGCGGCCAGCAGGAATACGTCCAGCGTCGGTGCCATCATTCCCTTCTTAACACACACACACACACACACACACACACACACACACACACACACACACACACACACATATATATATATATATATACACACGCACACGCAGATCTCAATCCATCTATCGTGGCCGCTTCGGCACATCCCGCCACCGCGCCCTGGTTGCGGGCCAGAGGCCTCTCGGATCAGGACATCTTGGGATGCCTCTCGGGGTCCCTCTTGGGGGATGAGGAGGAAGAGGAGCAGGAGGAGGGGGAGGAGGAGGGGGAGTCTTGAGGGCGTCGTGGAGGCTCCCTGGGGCCTCTTCGGAGTGCCTCGGGGGCCTCTGGCGGGATCTTGGGGCCATGCGAGTGCATTTCTTAGTCGAACTCGTAACGTCCGTGACCCGGGAGTCCCCCGCCCGCCCGCCCCTCCCCACGCCGCGGCATCGAGCCTACGGGTGGGTTGTGCCGGCTTCTCCTCAGGTATGGCGCATTACGCTCACGGGCGGTTTGTGGTGCTGGCACGCTGTTGCGCTCACAA